TTGTCTTAGAACTTCTTTTGGCACAGTATAGTGCTTGCCAGAGTTATTTTCTGAGTTAGAGAGGAGGTAGGACAAAGTAATAAAAAACAAGTATTTGGAAGGGTGGAACGATGCAACGTTTAGAAGTTCCTGAGCCACGGATCATTGAAAGCAAGGAAGAGCATCCATATATGCTTCTGCTACATTCATACTTTTCCTTAGACTTTGATCTGCTGGAGTCTCTATCCTATTCTAGCTAGGTCTTTGGTCTGGTCTTGTACGGCTGCTTTTGCATTATTTATGTATTAACTTAGAATGTTACTTTTTTTTAGGCTCACAGAATCCCTCAGGTGGGAAGGGCCTCGGGAGGTCTGTGGTCCAACCTCCTGCCCACAGCAGGGCCTTTCTGGTAGAGCTGCTCCCCAGCCTATGCTGTTGCAATACTATTCCCTTATTTCCAACCTGGTTTTGTGAATCTGTGCGTTTGTGTACTGAAGGTATAGGTGAAAACTTTCTGGAACATCAAAATGATGTGACTGATGCTAATGTTTTTTGGGTTTTGTCAACAAACTCTGCAGAAGATCTCAAAGGCAGCTGAAGAACTTCAGAATAACGTTCTTATCACTGGGATATTAAGCAGATGTCTGCACAGTAATTTGCATAAATCACTATTAGAGAAGTTTTGCATTTATATTTTAGTCACAGAATTACAGAAATCACATATCTCAAAACATTGCCGTTTTGGCAGCTGCATCAATATTGACATGTTTTCTAACACTTGAATGTCTGAAGGGATTTTAATGCCTCTTGCTAGTCCCATGATAAACACTGTTGTCAAGCTAAACTTTTACTAAAACAAAAATGGTGATATGTTTTGTTTACTAATGTACTGAAATTACTGTGTCTACTGTTGATTAATACAGAAAATTATGTTGATATTATGGAGAAATGTGTTAGATCTGCCTAGCTGCAGAAAAAACAGGCAGGGTGGAAAAGTGAAGAGCAGCTTTTTTTTGTTACATGTACCTTGGTAAATTTTCTAAAATCAGCATCTCTTTAGTTATCCAGTAGGGAAGTGAGACTTGAAGAAAAAGTAATTAATTTCCTGTACACTTTTCCATTAGAGCTAGAAGACAAAAATGAGTCTTTTAATTGACTCAATTTTTCTGGTGAATGAGAATCATTTTTGCTTTATAAGCACATCACTCAGAGGACTGAGTTGTAGACAGTCAAGAAATCTGGGCTGTTTTTTACTACATCTGAGTGATTTTGAGGAATTTAAAAGTGGGGTTGGGGGATATGTTTCGGGGTTGGTTGGTTGGTGGATTTTGTTCGGGTTTTCTTGGTTTGGTTTTGTTTTGTGGGTGTTTTTCAAATTTACCACAAGCTTGTTAATCGCAAGTCCAAGTTACGACCCAGCCCCTTGGGTTTTCTTAACAAGAATTGTAACATGCGTTCTGCTAATGCCTGCAGCGAGACAAGAACACCAACAAAACTAAAATTCTAACCTCTGTTCTGTTGGTTTTACCTGAAGATTTATGATGTCTGTGGAGTACAGTGGGTCATACAGACTTTGTCACCTCGACTGCATTGCTCCTCAGTCTGATACCTCTTCTGTGACACAGTGTAAAAAGTATTTGTAAACAGAGAAGTTGCTTTTAGCTGTATATAAAGGCAAAGGATGTGGTTTGCCAGCATATGAACTATACATGAAAGAAAAAGCCAAACCATGCTTTTCTAGTTTAACTTCCATCTTGGAAAACAACAGAGAGACAGTGGCTGCTCAGAAACCACAATGCTAATTTTCAAACTGTTTCAAACATGATTTTTTTCCTCAGAAAAGCAGAGACAAGAGTAAAGGAAGACAGTAATGGGGGGGGGGACACCGACATTTTCTTAAGACAAAGTCACTATATAAAACTTACACACTCGTGCACTCCCCAAGCTGGTTTTAAACTGCTCAGAGACCTTCATTTCTGAACTGATCTTTCCTACAGCTTATAAAATAATCACTGTGTTTTGTTTCTCCACACATCAAGGTGCAGGGGCAACTTTCAAACCCCTTCCTTGGTATATGAAATGATATGAGAATCGTATGATGAGGACAAGATTCATATTTTGGCCTCCAAGTGACCTTAAGTAAATGACATGTAGGGAAGTTACTGATGCTGGAAGTTTGCATTGATTTTGTTCTTTGTCTTTTTTTCCTTTTCACAGGTATTACTATGATGGAGACATGATCTGCAAAGTGCAAGGCAAGAGGTTTGTGTACAAATTTGTCTGCGACTTGAAAACTCTCATTGGATACAGTGCGGCAGAGTTGAATCGCTTGGTCACGGAATGTGAGCAGAGGAAGCTAGCCAAGATGCAGCTCCATGGCATTGCACAGCCAGTTACAACCGTCGCGCTTGCTACAGCATCCCTGCAGACAGAGAAAGATAATTAAGCGCTAGGACCTGAAAGTGGGACCCTGAGGCCTTTCCTATGTCACCAGAGCACTTGCTGCTCTTACCTTTATCAGAATTGGAAACTTCTTTTGTTTCTTGACAGTACAACATACTGCATGATTTTCTACAAAGAACTGGGACTCGCATAAATTTGGATCTTTTAACAGCATATATTTCAGTATAAGTTAAGGGATCGCCACAGCTTCTGCAGCTTGGAGTCAGGGCCCCTGTGGTATGCAGTCTGAAATCGGTGAGAAAGGTTGAAATGGTCAGCACTTTGTGTCCACAGCTGTACAAAGTAATTTCTGCAGCGCTTTAAACAAAAATGAAGTACCTGCAGCAAGCGGGCTGCTCAGTTGTCTGAACTCAGCCCTTTCCAGTCTTCTGTTCTCTGCTGAACTACCAAATGGCATTTGATGCTTTCACAGGTAAATGTGCATTATTCTCATTTAATCAAGCGGAGCTGAAAGACGCTTAAAACGTTACAAAGCATCATGTTCTTCAAATAGCTTCTGTGTTTATAAGCAAAGGAAACTAAGACTAGACCAAACTGAAGATCAGTGCTGAAGAAGGGGATCCAGGTTTAGATCTGGCTTAGGTGAAAAGCCAATTATGAGTATTTCATTGTATTATGTAGATAATATGCATATACTGAGGGCAAGTGCTTACCTGTTTTGAAAGATGGTGTTAACGCTAGCCATCTAGCAAAAAAGTAAAGGCAAACTTCTTCCACCCCACCCCGCATCAGATGATTTGAAAACTTTAAGAAAGTAAAAAAGTTGCCCTCACCCAAAGAGTAGATTGTTTTGGGAGGGATTGTGTTTTAATGCTCTGTTCTGCAAGGTGCTTATACCTGCATGGTAGTCAACCTTCGTAGCTGAAGACTTAAGTTAATCACAGTCAGTCGTCCCTGTTTAGATGCAAGATGCAAGTTGAAAATAGTTTTACAGAGAACTGAGTTTTGATTTCCAAATTATTGTACAGCCTGGCATATATTACAATACAAAGATGTTTCTTTTGCATTTTAAATTCATTTATTTCTGAGCTTCAGGTGATGTTTTTGAAGCTTCATAGGCCAAATGCATGCTTCAGAGCTGGGTGCAGTTTGAAGTCTGGGTGATGAATAGCAGTAGTTGAAATGTATCCTGAATTCCGAGCTAGGGAGAGTACTTCATGCAAACTTACACATGCAGTAAGAAGGAGGCTGCAACTTTTGAGCCTCTGTGGGGATGCCTATTGGGCTGTTTCTTTTGATGGCTGAAAATGGTGCAACTTCAGTTTTGCTTTTGCCCCTTCATGTTGTTAAACAGCGTATAGCCTCACCACGCATATTTTCCAACGTTTTTTTAAGTGAAATCCCCTCTGGTAACACTTAACAATTGAAATGCAAATGGATAAGGGAAAAACCCTTTCATTCTGTGAGGGGTCCAGCTACTCTTAAACCTGTCAGTCAAAAGTGCTTGTACAATGAGGTTCTAAACAAAATGTGTTTATAGTGGGTAACCTGAGCACTGGGCTGTTGCTCTTGATCGGAAGAGCAGAGGGGAAAGAACAGGGGAGACTCCTGTAAAGATGCATTGAGGACAAAGCTTTTGTTTATAGGTGGATGTTCACCTGCAGATGGTTTTGTCTTAACTCGAAATCTTGCGTGTAGCTCTAGCCTACATCGTCACCACAGTTACAAGCTCTTTTTGCCAGGTTCTTTCAGTAACTCTTCTTTTCATTCCTGACCTCTTAAAGCACGCCATCTTCCGAGCGCGCTGGTTTTACTTGGTTTTTAAAGAAACGCTTAAGCCCTGAGCCAAACGTGTAGATGCATCCGTCACGCGAGGTCAGCTGTCAGTCCGCTTACTGCTGTTACGGTCACCAGATTCTGCCGGTTGGGAAGTGCCTGAGGTGGCTCACACAAGTAGGTGCAGGTGTGCTTACTAGGAATGAGGTGAAGCTGAGGCTTTGGTGGCAGCAGCTCGGTGTCTGACACGGCTCCGTTACTAAACAGAAGTCCGACACAAGTCACTGGTTTTATTTAGCAGAGTTCATGAGTGGCCTTTTAAGATAAAATACAGCATAAAAAGAAGTAGTGATGTTCTAGATCAAACTGTACTGTGGGAGGATAAACCCTACAGCAAAAGGGAAATACCGATCCTTGATCTCCCTGGATGTTCTCGTTCCACGATAAGCCCGCTAGGGGGAGGTTCTGATATCACGCTTCCTTTGTACATACACCCGATTATTGTTTTGCAACTTTTCGGTAGGTGTGATAGTCACTTGGGTTCTTTGTTGTGGGATCATCTGCTTTTCCACCGTGTTCTGATTAGTAATGGAAGAATCCTTCAAACAGTATAAAAGCACTGTCACATTCTCTGTAGCTGAGGGAGAAGTCTGTGACTAACTTGGTGTCTTCAATAAAATAAAAGATGTAGAATATATTGTCAAAGGTTGTTCTCTTGCTGCCAGAAAGGAAACATGGAAAGAATATTCCCAATTTTTTGTAAAACGGAAGGTTTTTTGCATACTTTTTACTCTTTAAATAAAGACACTTATACTCTGCTAATAATTATGTATTTCTTGTGTTTTGCGCTTTTTTTTTGGTAATTTTACATGAAATGATTATTTTCTATTTTTACTCTGATAAAATATTTGTGCATAAAATGTCAATATAGTAAAATAAAAATGTTATACAGCTGATGCCTGCTGACTTCATCTTTCAGAAAGCCCTTTGTAATGTCATTCAGGTGCAGCCAGCTTAAAGAGGAGCGCCTGCACTTTATTCTCATTACCCTTCAGATCACAAGCTCGTTACAGGAGGACAGCAGACCCTCATCTTTTCTGAAGATGCATCTTCTTCGACGGGACACCTGGCTACGTGTTTCGACTTTTAAACTGGAACTTGGTGTCCTCCCTTGCTGTCACGGCGTTCCTTAACATCTTAAGTCCCAAAAGGGTGCTTTGATAAAAACAAGGAGGGAAGCAGTAGGACAAAGTGGAGCCCTGTAGGATAGTTTTATGCTTTTGATTTAAGTTGCAAAGGTTCGTGTGGATCCGTAATCACTGGAGTTTGTTTTGTTCTTGCGAATAGCCCCACTTCCTTCATGTGGCCCGCTGACTCAGTTGTTTGGGCTGTCCTTGCTGAAGAGAAAATTCTGATTATACTGTTACTGCCTTATTTTTAAATCGTGTCTCAATAGAAATGTTCTCCTTATACCTCTGAACTCCGCCATCTGGACTGCCAAATTCAATATTTTGAAATATTTTGTCATCTTTAAACCTACTGGATCACTTGATTTCAAAATGTTTGTGTTTGGCTCAGCAGCTACAGCATGTAATGGACAGAAGATATTTTTTTAGAACATTTGTTGGCCTACTTTGAAAGCAGATTACAAATGAGGAGTATCTTACTAATTGAGGACCTTTTCTTTGTGTTCATAGGTATTATCTTTACGCCAGTGAGGGTTTGGTTTGGGGTTCCCATTCTCAGACTGAAATGTTTTACTGGAACAATACAGGGAGTCACAAACGAACAGCTTGCAATTATCAACCTTAAATGAGCTGGCAGTGGGGCTCTGCCCCCTGATAGCGAAAGGAGGCCGATACAAGGCCCATTGATGTAGGTATGTGGGAATTTTTAAGCTGCGTGGTACAAGATCCGAGCTGCAGGGAATACTTTTACTGACGAGACTGGTGCTTTTTCAACGTCATACAAATTCTTAAAGGTTGTGGTTTTGATACAGCTATATCAGGATTTCTACAATATATTTGGGTTGTTACTGTGTAATTTTTCTTTTGGAAAAGTAATTCTTACTATGGATGATGCTAAACAGAAGATTACTTAATAATTAAGAGAGAGGAATGATTGACTGAGTTGGAGAATTGTGGCATGAGACCCAATGCATCGGGCATGACTCAGTTACATTTTGCATCATTATTTCAGGATTAGAGCTCACAGCATCTGGTCAGGCACCAAACTGAAATTTTTGTCAATTTTAGAGTATTGATGTCTGAGCCATTCATGTAAAACTAGGGTTAAAAAATGCTGAGGAGGGAAAAACAAGTACTGAGTATCTGCCTTTAACGAAAATTGTTCATTGCTCATGGAACTGGTCTTCTGGAAACCAAAATGAACTGGTGCTGATGGTAGTGGTATCAGAAGATGTCTGTAACCCGTGAAATGGTTCTTATTTACCTGGAAAACCAGAGGAATCGGTGGTTGTGTTTGTGGTTTGTGACACACAACGTCCAAGCAGGTGTATCCTTTTTGTAGGTGGTGTCACTGTAACCGGCTGTGATGGGAAAGAAGGAATCCAAGGGTAATTACTTATTGATCATAGCTGTAAGCAACTTACTTATGCAGTTACTTAATAAAAATAAAGGCGTTCAAAAAGAGGAGATAACAATCAGAAACCCCTGAAATCCTCATGTAAGTAGTTGTCTCATGTTTCCTTGTGTTACAGCTGAAACTACCCGCAGTGCAGCAGGTTTTAATTACCCAGCAGTTCTTGACTTGTGAAACAACTGCTGGACAGCAGATAGGAATAACATTGCAGTTTATGCTTTACAGTAATTTTTGGATTGCTGACGTTGAAGGGATTGTTCAGAAACAGTAGGAAAAATTCTCATTTAGCACAGATTTGATGAGTGTGAAAACTCGTAGAAACATTTAATTCTGTCTATTGAATTGCTTCAGGTATTTGCTGCTAATGATCTAAGTGAGCTGGGGGTCTTCAGTATTAAAAAATACTTATAATAGATCTGATATATTAAGACCTTTTTTTGTCTTATCTTTGCAACCTGCCTTGTAAACTAAATGGAAGAAATTAGCATTTAGGAGCTGTATTTCTGGTCCTGTGTGGGCTATTTGTCAGAATTCACTAATCGAAGTAGAATGTCCCCATCTTAGTAGACAAAATAGCAAATTATATATGTTAGAATGTGCAATATATATAAATTATATTTGAGGCAAGCATGGATGGCACTAACAGTTTCTTTAAAGATTTGTTGTATATTTCAGATTCCTCCCACTTAGGGAAAAGTATTTTGGGGTGAAAAAATCATTAGGTTAGCTGTTCCCTGCTTCATCCCAGTGAGTTTAGGTTTTTCAATATTCTCATTTTCAAGGGCTTTGCAGGATCTGGGTTTGCAAAAAGCTTCAGCTGCAGAAGACAATGACCAACCAGTATGTTTAGGACAAAAAAACTTGTAGGAGTGAAAGCTGCAAATGGCATGCTTGGAAAAAATGAGCCTGGAAGAGTGAGAATTCAAAGGTGAGATTTAATGAGATTAACTAGGGGGAAAGGCACCTGCAGGGTCCAGT